GCCCAAAGTGAGGCAGTGTGCAGTGGGCTGCATGGGGAGCGACGAGGCGAGGCGCTTACGCTTGGCGCCGCCTTCGCGCAGGTGATGTATGAGCAGCCAAACACCCGTTTCCCGCCGGCTGCGCTGTTTGAACTGCGGCTTCCCACAGCTGTCCCCACAGCCCTCGTGTTGCCCCAGCGAACGCCGCCCGTCCCTGTCCGCCGCCGAGCCCTCTAAATCTCTGGGAGGACTGCCTCCGACCCAGATAAACCCGGGTTGGCGACGACGTGCTGAGGTCAGCTACTGCAATCGGCCTGCGTCGTGCATAATATGTCTGAATGCATTCGATCATGTAAATGTATTAAACACAAAATTGAGGCGGTGTTAAAGCCTCGGCCAGAGTCATTTGTACGATATTCGCTGTCCAAATCACCGCATCTTTTGCGTCCAGTATCATAGCTTTCGACGCGGCGTCGACCGCACCGCCATGAGCATTCACAAAATGTCTTTAATTATGCTACTCCGAATTCATTCAAATTCTAGCAGCTTTTATAGACCACGCTGCAGGTAATTTGTGAATGTACGTACATTCCAGTCTAACATATAGCTTAATATTCTGGGGAAAATTGCATTACCTACATTCTGAAATCACAGAAAAAGTAAGGATAATAGGCTAAGATATCCACATGATTCTGAAATCATTTCTTAATTGAGTGTAGAATCATCAGTTCTATATTCCAAACGGACCTACAAAAGGATGGAAGCATGTACAAATCATATTCTTCAGGTGTCAGCATCATCAGCTCACTACAATAAATCCACTTCTAGTGAATCTATTCTTCAGTTTAAATGCCACGAAAAATATTTTAGTAGTATTAATAGTAATTGCAATAATAATAATAATAATAATAATAATAATAATAATAATAATAATAATAATAATAATAATAATCTATTAGTTATGTTTGTATTGCATAATTATAAAAGACTGGGAATGTTTAAAACGTATTATAATCGACTTCTAAATCAATATTTCATATAAACTTCAAAATAGTCAATATTTTTAGCTCTAAGTTTACGCTCTAAGCGGGGTTGAAGATGGATTCTGCCCTATTCTTTTCTCTGTAAGATTTATACAACAAAACCATTAACATATATTCATAAAAATACTTTTAAAATTGTTTTTAAAGTCGATGTTCAGCAATTAATAACCTCTACAAAACACATTCGTAATTTAACCAACAAATAAATAATTACATGTGCAACTATAGTCATTTAATTAATGCATACACAAACAGATGAGTTTTCGGTAATTGTTTTAAAGAAAATATTCTTCTCTTTGGAAAGAACGGTCAGGGAGGACCCCTGTTCGATCGAATTCGCTTTCGTGAGAACACGGGTGTTTACGACAGAATATTTCAAACATATAAGCACAGGCGCGTTTGCAGAGGAATCGACGCTAACTGTGTATTAGCTAACACACTTCCTCATCGGCAGAATGATATCCAATGAACTTGAAATATTCTGTCGAGCCGTTTGGCGTGGACATACACAAACATGTTCCGTCAACGAAACTTGTTACGAACAAAAAGGCATTTCGAAAACCTACAATTCAATTACCAAGAATTAATGAAATCAATGAAATGTATTTTTGATAGTTAATGCCAATCATGAACCGAACATCACTACTGCAGTAAGAATGTGAAGTTTCTTTTAGAAAAGTCTCACACATTTCAAACATAACTACAATGATGAATGTTAATATTTCGCTTACTTCACATGCCGCAATAATTCGAAGACGCATGCCATGTGCGGTCGAAGATCGAATGCAGTATGAGCATCACAGTTCTGGATAAACTGCTGGCCGTTCGCCCCCAACCTTTTCTTCGGAGGATTACAAATCCGCTCTGCTCATACCCTTGGTTTGTCCTTTATATAAAATCAGTTTTATTGTAGTATTATGACATAATGAAATCAGTGAAATTGTCGCCGTAACTCCTGACCCCGACGTATATATGCATTAGAGCTTTACCAAATCATTGATAACACGTTTCGCTTGTCATCGTTCGCATCCCTTAAGAGCTCGTATACGCCAACATCAAATTACATTAACAATCCACATCTTCGACATCCACTTTTGACACGTATTGCCTAAATTTCTGATATCGTGAAAACTCTAAACAGACATTTCCCTTGTAGATTTCTGCCACCAATATTCAGAAACAAACTGCTGTGAAGTCGTTTCAATCTACTTGCTCATTTTGTCAGACGGTAAACATAAAAGCTTATTGCGCGGAGAGTCAGAAGGTTACGTTTTTAATTTTTTTTTAATTCAAACACCAAACTATTTGTACAATAAAATATATGGTTTACATTACGTTGAATCGTCGATCTCTGTCACTCAAGATTTAAAAGTGAGCAACGAAACAGTTCACTTAAAACTCACTTCACTTCATTTCACCTAATATTCCGATGATTAAAAAAACAAAAGACAAAATATACTACTACACAGCCTTTCTGAGATTAATGATATTGGAACGCATGTGGTTAGCGTACCATATTTGTTTCCCAGGTTGCATTGGACGAAAGTGCAGAAAACCAAATAGTAATTGCAAACAATTTTCACGTCATAATTACGAAGGAGACATGACGCCATTCTTTTGTCACATTAATAAACATTTCAGATAACTCAGTACAAACACACGAGTATGAGTCATAAAATGAGGTGCACAATTCTCGTTTTATACTCCATTTTGAGTGTTGCGTTGAAAAAACAGCTGGAAATTAATTACAGAATTTCATGTTAAAATTTCAATCTTCATTTTCCAAGAGTCACCCTTTGCTTATTGAATCTTGGCATATTTTATTATGAGTAACCAAACAGAACTGCAATTAACGGGATACATTTTAACGCACTGAAAATCTGTAACTTTGTTTTCGAATAAATACTTCAACGAGAGTGGGAAACCCCTCTTTTTAATGTTTTACCTCTGTATTTCAAGGAGAGAGTAATTACCTTTCAAACAAATTTTTCACTTTTCAGACATTGCTAATTTTTCAATCCCGTTTAAAGTCTGTTTTTAACAAGCTCTTTCCTTACGTGCCATTAAATACTCGTTAGTCTAAATGGGAATGGGAAAATACGATAAAGTACATTCAGATATGATCATTAACTTCGGATAGTTCATACAGTAATTCTGCAGAGCTGCGGAACAAGGTATCACGATCGAATGCAAAAGCAAACATCTTATTATCTCACCTAAACTTTTATTCATCTGACAATTACCAAAAAAGTCAAATTCTCTTATTTTTGGTGGCCAAAATGCAGGAGATAATACCGTATATCGAGAAGAGATACAAAATGCTCCATATTAGTTTCGTTTTATTTTAGCCTAATTTTATGGTAACGTACTAAATATTCTAAAAATATTCAAAGTATTTTCAAGCAAAGCCAAATACTATAGATTACAAAACAAATGTCAGTTTTTTATGTTTTGCCGACAAATTAATTCAGAAGAATGTGAAACGTGATTTTGAGATGCGTCCCTCACACATTTCGTATCCCACCACGTTTCAAAAAAATCATATAATCAGATTGTATAATTACGTGATTTGAAACTGATGGTTAAGTGTTAAATAAAATATATTAAAATCGTATTCAACGAGTCACAATAACTATCCAGAAGTAAGGAACGGACACAAAAAAATTCACACAAAATTAAGTAAGTAATAGAAGATCAATTTACAATTAAAAAATTGTAATGTGTTGCAAACTAATTATTTTTGTTGGAAAAATCGAGGAAATTACGTATTTTGATAGTCACATACATAGACATGTTGCTTGTAGTCATATTGAAATTTTATAAAAGCCATCAAATGAACTCTATCCACCACCAAAAAATATACGTAGCATTATAATTTAATGAATATAATTAATTATATTTGGTTATTTTGTGGTTTTGAGGAAAGCCTGTTACTATGGAGATGAGATTCAAATGCGTCTCAGTGTCTTATCGCATCTATACTCACTCCAGTGTCATTTATATTTTCTTGATAAAAACTATCCCCCAACAGACATTTTTACACTTTTGAAAAAAATTTAGAATATATTAAGAATATAGCTCATACTTTCTGTTGTCTTTAGCACTTTAAGGTAGTATATACTTTCATGTAGGTATACATATACTGTAAGGAAAACTAGTCGCAGAGAACCTAGAGATTTTACCAACACGGAAGTGACATCAGGCAGCTCATAACACCGCGGGCACTTGGATGGGTGACCGTCTGGGAACCCTGGATACAAACGGGGTGCCGAGCACCTGGCCGATTGGGATAAAAGGCAACGACTTACGACTTGACGTATGACTGACTTGACGTATTACGCATTCATTGACAAAAAGGCTTGGAACATCGTTACGCAAGTAATAGAGTTTTAAAAAAGCAACACAGAATATTAAATGGTACTGATGACGAAATGATTTTCCCCCAACGACCCGCGGAACACAAGAAAATCACGTGCAGACAGCAATCATACATTAAGTTTCTATGTCTTACACATTCTACACATCAAGTTTCTATGTTCATATGTCTAGTTTTTCAAATGTTGCTAACCCCGCGCTTTTTTAAATTTTTTATTTTAATTTTAACTTTTACTCATCTTTCAGCCATTCATAGTTAAAATCTTAGGAAGAGATTTTGGAACTCAAGAAAACGTGCGCAGATATTATGCTCCCCCATACGCCACATACAGTTTTTACTGTTGTATTTATTTACTTATTTATAAATTTTTATAAAAAAATTATAAATTTTTATTTACATATTTATTTATTTATTTATGTATTATTTATTTATTTATTTATGTATTATTTATTTATTTATGTATTATTTATTTATTTATGTATTATTTATTTATTTATTTATTTATTTATTTATTTATTTATTTATTAAATAAATCTCAATCAAAGTTTTTATCCACAGTCCAGGTTCAGAGTCGCTCCAATGCGAGAGCGCGCGGGACTCACCGGGTGTAGCGCACGGCCGAGTGCGGCACTTCCGGGGCCTTGAGGAAGGCGCCCCCGCGCCTCTGCGCCGACAGGCACGTCACGTCCAGCTTGGCCGCCAGCTCGGGGGGCAGGCGCAGCGGCGCGGTGCTGGGCGGGCGCTGGCTGCGCAGGCGGCCGCGGCGACGCACCGCTCCGGCTGCAACCAACACACACACACTCACTCGCTGCAGGCCAAAAGAACCGGCCGCAATACACTGCCCGAATGAGGAATACTTTTGACTTTTTCGTCTACAACTTCACAAATACCCGCAAATTGGAAGATTAATGTAGATAATTACTTAAACTAGTCCGGAATTAAATTTGTTCAAAGAATTGGTCGCTACGAGCGGGATTCGAATTCGGGCCTTCTAGTTTACGTCCAGCTTCCCTGACCACTAAGATACCGAGACAACCAATGAAGTTGAAGTTTTGAAGTTTTCACGAGCGCAATTTTCATTAACATTGAAATTATACTAAAGTAGTCATTTATAAACAAGTCTGGTTTATATTATTCACTTAAATTCATTGGAATTAATCCATTGGAAATAATTTAAAAAAAGGTCTACATATATTTAACAACAGGCGTGCCCTATTGTTAAAATGGAATAGTGAATGCTTTTTCTTTTTAGCACACAAGAAATGCATTAACGTCTGGAAAAACTTTTATTGAAGCAAAAATACATATTGGGTTTAATATTTCAGACAATTCCAACAGACGAAATTCTTTTTTGGAATTCCTAGCCGGTTTTTACACTACTGACACTGATTCTTAATCAGTTGAGCTCTTGGACCATACACCTCCACAATACGGAATGGAATGTCAACAGTTATATGCTTGAAAATGTAACTTAATGTATACATTCAAAAAAACCATGTACATTTTATATTCAGCAGCAATGTGAAATAATCTGCATTAGGACAATCCTTGTATTCGACATTAGGAACATAGCGGCAGTACTTCTTTCAAGCTGTTTCGCGGTAAAAATCAGAATCAATGTTGTTTATATATTCTGTGATATTTTCTTAGATACACAACAACCACATACTATATAAATAATTATTCTAATATTTACGGCACACGAGTAAGAACAATTCTTTTTGTTACTGCTCCGATATTTTTGTTGACGCTCTGAAGAAAACGCGCTCTGCCACTTCACTCTAGAGTTTCAACTAAAAAAAAATCTACGCTCGACCACGAAGTATCGATCTCGGTAAAAACGTGATGCTTGCCTGGTTTTCGGCGCACTATCCATCTTCTTGAAAATTGCAAATAAATTAACATTGCAAAAGGACAATATTGAAGAAAGAGATTTTTGTACCAATAAGAAACATTCTAAACGATCAGATCTAAAAAGAGTCAATACAGTGTTTGACAAAAATGAGTAGTTTTCGTGTAAGTTCTGCATGAAGTTAGTTCGATTTATAAATAAAAACGGCTAAACGGTTTCGAATTTTTCTACGGATGAAAACAGCAAAGAACGGTTAAAAACATTGCCCAGGACTCATTTTCGTTGAACTCTCATGTCACTCGGAGAACATGCTCCCTTATAAACAAAGATTTAACTCCCGTCGCTACGTGGAACTCAATGCACGTTAGTAAAAAGCACAAACTTCCGTCGCTAGTAAAAAGCGGAAAGGTAAATTCGCGAAAGCTCTATCTCTCTTCTTGTAGAAAGTTGACCACTCTGCTAGTGTACGCTGGTAACCGCCCCTAGCTTTAAAGTTCGTAAATCAGTTCCATGTCTACGCACATGTATGGTTGAGTCCCAGTAACTTGTCGTTGCCTTTAACCTCCATGTTCATTCAAAGAAGAACCGAGAACGCTGTCAATCAAAACTTGGCGCCATATCATCTTCCCAACGTCCCTAAACTCTCGTGTTGGGTATTTTCTTTTTCGTTTTCATAAATGAGCATCGTACTCAGTCAGAGGCTTAAAATTTTGAGGGCAAATATTTTTTAAAAACAGCTTCCAAAAATTATGAAAAGTATTTTATCCTGTTCGAATGTAGTTTAACATTTTGCATGCCAACATAAAGTTAAACAGAGTTTTATTTCCATAGGTAACGGCAAAATAATTTAATGGAACTGGAATGACTTTATGGAACAGGAAAGCGATGTAATACTGTAAAAAGTTTGTGTCTATATTATTATTATTATTATTATTATTATTTCAAAAAGAAATAAGTCAGAGGCAACACTGTGATTTTTCATTCCATATTGATTATTGATTAAACCAGATTAAAATCTTCGCATTCGGATATTATTGTATGTCTTTTAATAATGTCATGAGTTCTGCATTCTTCGTTTCTGCGTTCTGTGGCTGTACAAATAATGTAAACTCTTTTCGAAAAAAATACCGATATCTTTTTTCTCTTCTCGTTTATCTTTTTTATAATAATTTCTGTATCACTCGTCACGGCTAGAGAAACTTTTCTTGCGCCAGTAAAATAGCTAGATCTCATGTTTTATAAGTTACGTAAACTTCTGTGTTTGAGGAGAATGAACTAAGAGATTGATACTGTGCTAATGTACGTTTCATGGTATTTGAAGAAGAATACGCACGTGTTCAACTCTCAGCGCGATCACAAATAATCATTATCGAACTTCGTAGATTACGGAAGCCTTATCTGCATTTCTTGATACCTTGATCTTTTCTATGTTAACTTGCAAAGGGTATACGAGAGCTAATTGAAAAATGCTCACTACACTGGTTTAGCACAAACACTTCACGTTTTGAGACAATCTTATGAAAATAATAGACTATTCCCATAATGTAAATCCGAAAAACATTTTTACGAAACAAATTTGATTTATTCTTGAGTTCAATAAAATATATATCAAAAAAGTCATATAACTAAAAACCTCAAGACGCTAACTCACTTAAAAACCGATCTACATGTGTACAATACTTAACACAACTTCTGTGATATCCCAAATTCAATATCATTAAATGGAATAAATATATTAAAACTTCTGAATGTTTAAAATTTCTCAAACAATATTTAATACTTCGACTAAACAATCCTTCAAAAATGAATACTTATTTCATATTCTGAATTGAGAAAACAATTTCAGCCTGCTCTAAATTTTGTGATCGCTGCATAAAAGGTGTTATGGCCAAAAGTGGCAATAATGAAATTTTGCCACTGGTGCATCTAAAATATCTACTTGTGTGTTCGTTTTTTATTCGAGGCAAGCGGTATGGCCATTAGAGGTGGAGGTGTTCTACCCTGGCTGGATGGCGAGATCCGGCGCCGACCTACATGTCGACTTGAGGTGTTTCGCCCTCCAGTTATCTCCCACCGGGGCACCGTCCTAGACAGATTAAGCCCTAAGCTCCCTTCTGGTATATCGGCATGTACGGTAGTGCAGAGCATGAAAGTGTGAGAATGTGTTAGTACGAGTAAAAGGTGAGGTTAAGCCAAAGGAGGTAGGACAGATCGCGGATAACCTTGGTTCGTTTATGACGGCGCCAGTCTACTTTCGCCTGGTAATGTTAGGAGAAACCACAGAAAACTACCGATCAGAGTAAACTGCCATATCAGAGTAACTAGAATTATCTTCCAGAAAGCGGCTCGATTCGACCTAGCAATCTAACTAGTGTCGAAAATTCTGCCTCCGTCGGGACTGGAACACTTTGACCTCCTGATCAGAGAAACTGCAGTAACATCAGTTGATGCCCTCAACCACCTCAGCCAGTTCTACTTGTGGAGATGATCAGCTGGGTCCCATGACACTTTTACACTCAATCAGTTGTGAATTTGGGGCATGTGAGAATAACACATTTTGCAGTACAAAGAAGGGTATGTCCAAAGTATATTAAACTGAGGGACTGTTCAGTGATATCACTACACTACCCTCTACCCACTACACTACTAGATCCAAAAGCACTTGTTCATGAATGATACTTTGAAAAAGAGAGTGCTCTAAACAGCGCCAATTCTTAATAAGGCCTTTTATGGTGACATTAACTAAGTTGTCTTAAATGACAACGCGACGAAGCCATGTTCCAGCAATCTCACTATCGACTCCAGAGATACGAGAAACTGCGACCTCCAGAGATACGAGGCCGGGAGCCAGCCAGAAAAAAACGTTTATGATAAGCTAAAAGCTAAAACTTTTTCAGTAGTTATCCAATGTTATGGGAAACATGGAAACGCAAGTATGGTGGTCTGTAGGTGACGGCGTTGCGCTGCACAATTTGTTTGAATATCTTGAAAAAAAAAAACAAAAAAAAAGCAACTACGCCACTGGGAAATGAGTACACAGCAAATTCTTGGATATTGTTCGTTAGATAGCCAAAATCTGAAGGAGTTGTACGCTTTACCTATGTGGCGACTCAAACCGTACACCGTATTGAATTCAACGAGTCATTTTTTAAACACCCTCTTGTAAACTAATTTTTTAGTTTATCTTCTTCTTCTTCTTCGACGGTTTCTACTCCTTAGAGTTTGCCGTTTTCGATTTCCATAATTCTCGGTCCTCCCATTGACTCTCTTCCAATCCTTTCTTCTACATTACATCATGTATATATGTCTTCCAGGTTAAACCAGGTCTACCTCTTCTACGTCTTCTTTCAGGTATCCAATTTAAAATTTGTTTTGGCCATCTCTCATTTCGCATCCTCTGGATATGTCCATACCATTGAAGAGCTTTATTTTCTAGTCTTCTGGTTTTGGTTGTTTGAACCCCAGCTCTTTCCCATACCACTTCGTTTCTTATTTAATCCAGTCTTGTTATCTGCAAAGATCTTCTCATAAAGGCGAGCTCTACCGACCGTATTCTGTCTCTATAGCATTTTGTTAAGGGCCACATTTCTTCTCCATATAATACAATACTTTCCACGATACTGTCGAGTATGTGTCGTTTTGTGTCTTGCCTTAAAACACTAGTTTTTTTTAGTTTATGGGTAGACAATTCTTTTTCACTGCCGATTATGACCACGCCATACCTTTTCAGCGTCTGTATGTAGCCGCCATACTGATTCAAGAGGACGTTCAATTTGTCACTAGACCGTGTACGTACGAGCTTCTCAAACATGGCTTTTCTTGCTCGCTCCTAGGTTAAGAACGTCGAGCGCTACATCAGTATGGCCACTTGGTCGGAAGGGTCATGAGCGCTGTAAACCGACGACAGGCACTCGCTTGACGCTATCAC